CAGTGACCTTGACCTTTGGTCAATTGACTCCTTGTTTAATTCTGAGCAACATTGCTTCAAAGTGTCATAGCGAAATGTTCACCAGTGAAAAGATACAAAATTTAACCTTGACCTTTGACCCAATGACCTTGACATTTGGTCAGTTGACTCCTTGTTTAATTCTGATCAACTTTGCTTCATCATGTCATAACAAAATGTTCATCAGTGAAAAGATACTAAATTTGACCTTGACCTTTGAATCTAATGGCCTTGACCTTTGATCTTGACTTTTTACCTCCGTGTGTCTCTTTGTTTAATTCCGAACAACTTTGCTTCATAATGTCATAGCGAAATGTTAACCTGTGAAAAGCTACAAAATTTGACCTTGACCCTTGATCTGATGACCTTGACCTTTGGTCAGTTGACTCCTTGTTTAATTCTGATCAACTTTGCTTCATCATGTCATAACAAAATGTTCATCAGTGAAAAGATGCAAAATTTGACCTTGACCTTTGAACCTAATGACCTTAACCTTTGACATTAACTTTTTACCTCAATGTGTATTTTTGTGAACTGAACATCTTGACCAAGTTTCATGTACATCAGTCAATAAATACTAAAGTTAGAGAGAGTGATTACTATAGGGCATCCGTATCGCCGATACGGGGCCCTAATAACGATACCACTACAGCAGATGTTTAGTCTGAAAACTTACCTGATCAAGGTGTCTTCTCCACTAACAATACCACTACAGCAGACATTTAGGNAGACATTTAGACTGAAAACTTCCCTGATCAAGGTGTCTTCTCCACTAATGATACCACTACAGCAGATGTTTAGGCTGGAAACTTACCTGATCAAGGTGTCTTCTCCACTAACGAAACCACTACAGCAGACATTTAGACTGAAAACTTCCCTGATCAAGGTGTCTTCTCCACTCACGATACCACTACAGCAGATGTTTAGGCTGGAAACTTACCTCATCAAGGTGTCTTCTCCACTAACGATACCACTACAGCAGACGCTTAGACTGAAAACTTACCTGATCAAGGTGTCTGTTTTTGAGAAGATCTGGCTTTCTTGTGATGCAGTACTCAAAACAAGTCCAGATTTTATGTTGCTGAAATTACAAAACTTAATTAAGCAGTCAGCAGGGTTCTTACACACATACCCCTAATCCCAAAATTCACAAGTGTGATCTGTGACCTTTCAGCCTCGACCAATGAAAACCAAAATCTAATAAAATGTTTAAGTTGATGATACCATACTATGGTGTTAGAAATACACTTAATCTAATGAAGGGTTAAAGATATATATTGTACATAAGCTTTTTACTTCAAAGGTGGTCAAGTTTGACCTTTGGCCCTTCAGTCTTGACCACTGACAACCAAAATCCAACCAGGTGTTGAACTTCATTTACCATATTACGGAGAACTAAATCTGTTGAAAGGTTTATGAGATATCTTGCACACTAGCTTTCTACTTCAAAAGTTCTGATCAAGTGTGATTCAAACTCTTTATCCTTAACCAATGGTTAACTGCAACAGATGTGGAGATGGATGTTTCGGCCATAATGACAAAGCAATTTCTATATACCCCTCTACTAAGTGGGGGCTGTTATCACGATCACACATATACGTATACTTACAAGGTCCCTTGTCACACTTAGTAAGTTACACAACTGTTGCAGTCTGTGAAAGCCAAGGCGGGAAACTGAAAATAGTTGAATGATACAAATTATTAGAAGTTAAAATACCAGGTGAAACATTATGGAGGACATTTGTCAGTGTGTAACTTTTAATTTAGAAAATATCACCTTTGTTAATTTGAGAAAGAATGACAGCATATCCTAATATGTAGGGTTTTACTTATTGTTTCAATTCATCGTTCATATTGAGACCTGGGACCTGTTCGTTTAGGGGGAACGACCGGTTTGTCTGTTGATAAATGTATCATTTCAGGCATAAATCCTTGCAAACCTGCAAAAGTTCATTCAGGCCTTGCAAGATTTTGTCAAGGCACGCCTGAAAACATTATCAGATTACTAGGTCTGACTTTATTTCATAAACGAACAACTTTGGTCCAACCCATTCAACTGTTTCGCTCGCGATAAACGAAAATGGCCTTGGAGAAGTTGACACACTTTTTTTTGAAGAAGCTCTGAAAAGAGTGTATTTATCTTAGTTTGGTAAACTCAAAACAACATTTTGACAAGAAAGATTTGTAGAAAGTTTACTCACCTTTGTTGAGGAAGAATTGAAGGGACTGTGAGCGCCTGGGTGGAGGTTTGTCAGGGTTTCCCTGTTGTGTCAGTGGGGTCGTTCTGAGGACTGTCCCTGCTGGAGAAACACCTCTTGTCCTCAGGGGTGGGCGCATTGGAGAGAGGTAGCTACAAAACAACATATTAAATAAACTAGGACTATGAAGGCTGATATTAAGGTTTTCTTCATCCAAGGCTTTGGATTTTGTTCAGAATAGAAGAAATTTGCAAACACATAATTTTATAAACTGAACTTTTCGAAACTATTCTTGGAAACATTTGTTTGCTTTCTGCATAGCATTAACGTTTTCTTTGAAGTCATTTTTCATGTGATACTTTCATTATCAATCACTGCTTAAATTCATGTGGCTAGAAAATTAATATACCACCTACAATATAAATTCATAACAGTATTCGGGCATATTTGTATACGTATAACTCACTTTCTTTTTTAATCAAAGTAAGCACTTTCAACTATGAAAATAGCAAGTTGGGCGTTATGTAAGGCAGTTTCAGAGATGGTAGACTTGTTACTAAAGAAATGGGGAAAGATATGAACACTTAAATCCACAAAGTTCTTAGGGATATGCTGAGTTACAGTCTCTGCAAGCCTGGAGGAGGTCGCGACAAAAACGAAGGTTCTGTACAAACTAGTTTGATCCTTTAATGTACATACAAAAAAATAGCACAAAGGTAGGGTTAAAATTGACCGGATGTCAATAGGGTGTCACTCTTCTGTAATCAAACAAGAGGCCCAATGGGCCTGCATCGCTCACCTGGTATTAATCTCACACTTGTAATCTTAAAAGTGGACTAAAATACAGATACAGGCAGAATATCAGTGTTTGATTCATAAGAACCTACTAAAAGATTTAAACATATGACGCCTGTGACCTTGAATGTCAAACAGGAACATTAGGTTGAAAATGGGTCAAGGTCATTCATTTGAACAAACTTGGTAGTCCTTCATCCCAACATGCTACAGTCCCAATTTTAGTACCCTGGGCCTTTTGGTTATTGAGAAGAGACGTTTGAAGATTTTACAACATTTGACCCATGTGACCTTGAAAGTTGGTCAAGGTCATTCATTTGAACAAACTTGGTAGCCCTTCATCCCAGCATGCTACCTTGAAAGTTGGTCAAGGTCATTCATTTGAACAAACTTGGTAGCCCTTCATCCCAGCATGCTGCAGGCCCAATATCAGTACCCTTGGCCTTTTGGTTATTGAGAAGTTGTTGTTTGAAGATTTTAACATATCTGACCCATGTGACCTTGAAAGTGGGTCAAGGTTATTCATTTGAACAAACTTGGTAGCCCTTCATCCCAGCATACTACTGGCCAAATATTATCAGCCTGGGCCTCTTGGTTATTTAGAAGAAGTTGTTTTAAGTAAAATGTTGACACCAGATGGACAGATGACGGACGCCGCACCATGCCATAAGCTCACCTGGCCCTTTGGGCCAGGTGAGCTAAAAAGGACAGTTATCAGCCTAGTGATGGGTCAGCTTTTTTTCACCTGAAACCAATCAAACAGCTTACTGTGTGCTTTTGATTTTGTCATGATATATTCCAGGGGTGCAGTGAACATAAACGAGCATAACCCCTGTAATTGTGAGGATGGAATACTTACAGATCAGCACTGGACGGAGTTATCTCATGGCCTGCACCATCAGGGGGAGAGGCAGGGATACTGTCGTACAGTAGGTCAAACAGCGGTGAACCCTGTACAGACAACATAAGGATACTTAACCATCAAACTAAGGATGACAATGTGGTCGTTGTTCAGATATTGGTATACTGGCCAATGAAACAAGAGAGATTACAAAGTCTGTACGTCCAATCTTACGCCGGCTGTTCTATAATAATCATATTGGGAAAGTCAGGGCACCTGTACAATACATTAGGGGTGGTAGGTTTAAATCAAAATCTGCCAACTTTTTCTTATATTAAATCAGTTTTAACGGTGGTAGGGACTCTAAACAAGAGGCCCAGAGGGCCTGTATCGCTCACCTGTTTCTTTTGTTACATGCAACTGACATATAGGTAACTAAAGACCAAATTTGGTAACTAGAACACAAGACATTTTAACATCTCCTAAACGGTTCTGAAGATATTGTTGTTTGAAAGTTGAAATTTTAATTTTAAAGCTTGTAACCCATATTGACCTTTGACTACCGACTTGTACTTTAAGTTGACCTTTGACCTCATTACTGTAATAAAGAAAACAATTCACACAGCTGGTCTTCATAACATACCCAAGTATCATGACTCTAGTCCAAATGGGTCTTAGGATATTGATGTTTTAAATTTTTCACATATTTGACCCCTGTGACATTGAAAGTAGGTCAAGGTCATTTTAATGAGGAAATTTTATAGCACTACATCCCAGGTACCTACTGGCCAATTTTATCATGACCCTGGGCCTTATGGAACTTGAGAAGAAGATTGTTAAAGCTTTTAACCAAAGTTGACATTTGGCCCCCCCCCCCCCCGACTAGCATTTAAATTTGACCTTTGAACTGTAAATGAGAAAAATATTCGCACTGCTGGTCTACATAACATACCCAAGTATCATGACTCTAGTTCAAATGGTTCTTAGGATATTATTGTTTGTAATTTTTCACATATTTTACCCCTGTGACCTTGAAAGTAAGTCAAGGTCATTTTAATGAGGAAAGTTTATAGTACTCCATCCCAGGTACCTACTGGCCAACTATCATGACCCTAGGTCCTACAGTTCTTCAGAAGAAGTCGTTCAAAAGAAAAAGTTGACGTAAGGACGACAGACGACGGACTATGGACGACGGACGCCGCAGTACGGCATAAGCTCACATGGCCCTTTGGGCCAGGTGAGCTAAAAAATGCCTCCCGTCCCTCCCATATAGCTAGTTCTGAGAGAGCCCTTATAACAACCGCATGTTATAAAGGTGCAAAAAAAAGAATTAATCTGGACCACAATTGAATTGTTACAATTTCTACCAACTTCGTTTTCAAATTCAGATGGTCAATGTTCTGCACTTCAAAATATCTCAAACAATTAAAGGTCAATAGCAGCCAGCTTGGATTTCTAAATGATCTGAAAAGTTCAGATTTATTCTTGATCACAAATAGATCATTCTTTAACAAATTGAAAATCAGAATGGAATTCTAAAGACAGATTTTTATTTTAACATAAAGTTGTCCAACTCCAACCTATACTATAAAAAAGTAGGTTCAGTAGTCCGCTGGAGTTAATAAACAACCATGGTATCAAAAAAAGACCAACTTTACCTCTTCCCATGCCAAGCTTTCTAAAATCTGTATCGCAATTGACTGGAGATGCTGAAACATTCAAAAAATATGTTTTTAACATTTTCTGTAGGATTTCATAAGATTTTCTTATTTGAAATTACAGCTTCACCTTTTAAACATTTTTCACAGTGAAAAGAAATCATCTTTCTAGTTTTTGTTTATTTCAAAGTTTAATGCAGACAATCCCTCATCTCAGTAAGCTACAAGGTTCTGTAAAGGGAGTTTTTTAGATGGTGGACAGATGCTGTACCATTGCGTAAGCTTTATGCCAGGTGAGCTGAATACTTTTTTTCTTTTTTTTTCTCCAAAATGTATTGGACATATTATTGTTTGTTTCTTGCTCTACCTTCACAATCTCCTTCGTCAGAATCGGCTCTGCCCTGATGAAACTCTCCAACACTTTGTAGAAGTCATATGGATGGATTTCAAAAACCTCCAGAATCCATGGAAAAGCAAACTTGGAATCTCCAGCCCCAATCGCCTTTATGACTGGGTTCCCTGTTAATGAGCAAGTCATCAATATTTCATTTTTATAAAACTGTGTTTATAATGACAAAAAAATGTATTATGTATTTCATAACCAAAGTATACTGCAAATCAAACATTTCCTTATCTGGCTTTTGCATCCTGGAGTCAGCAGACCCTTTTAAGCAGATCTTTTTGAAAATGACATGGTGATGGACAGATATATGGTTAATTTACAATATATTCATTTCTACTGAACTTAGATTCAAAATACCTGCTTATAAAGAGTCCAAGCTTGATTATTGCATAAAGATTCAAGTTGGTACAATGTATATGAATATGTCTGCAAATTAGTGTGGAAAGTGGTCCAACTGGTAGACTGCTTTTAAATCTTTTCAGAAGTTTCCAATTGAAATAAACATGAATTTATATGTGATGTTGTTTTACGTTTTATTCAATACTGAACAGCTTATCTATTTAACCAGGACAACGTCATACAGTGATCATAATGCCACATGATTCAATACCTTCCATCGAATTAAAAAGAATTGATAACTTTTTGTTTTCCACAAGTTCTTTCAACCATTCTTATTGGCCCGGATGGAAGCTTGCAGAGGGTCTTAATGCGAGAGGAAACAGGAGTATCGGGAGAAAACCCAAGCAGTCTGGCAGGTGACCCCATACCTTTACACATCCGATCGGGGAATCAAATCCTGGTTACCTTGGTAAAAGACGAGTGCGCCATCCACTGCCCTAGCTACCCCACCACCCAATCCAACTTATTCCACCGAATTAGATTGCACAAGTCGGATTATTCAGAAATTATCAAAAATTCGTAAAATCGCACTGAATGTACCTGTAAATATATGGACCATATCTTGTTCATTGAGGTTTATGGGGTATAAACTTCAATGGATCTTGAGACAAATTTTACAAATTGGGAACAGTTTCTACTATCTGACTATGTGTCCTCACACTTACACGACACATCGTAGGTCATCAGGACGATTTCCACAGAGCAGGCTATGAGGGACTTGTGGAGGGTCTCTATATTCAGCAGTATACTGAAGTCAGTTTTAGACAGCCTCTCCTTCTCCTGAAACACATCCAGCAGAAACACATAACAACCTATGGGTCTGTATTGTTTCCTATTCATGGTATTGTTCATTATCCCTTAAAGCAGCATACTAGACAAACTGGAATGATCATGGTGAACTCAATATTACTATGACCCAGGAATTTGAAAAAACTATACTAGTTAGTATACATCTTGGGAGTTCATGTATGTTAGGACATGAACCATAAAGAGTATAGCTTTTCAGGGCTAAGACTACACTTACTATTAAATCAGACCAGATTTAGGACTTTTTCAATACTATATGAACCTTGAATTATTTTATTGTTAATTTACTTCAATTAACACTTATCACAAATACTGTTCTAGTCAAATGAGCCAACACTGCTTGTATAAATGGATAAAACACATCCGTGTGATTCTCTTTACATTAGAAACTCCACAAAGCAAATCGGGATGGAAGTTGAGGCCCAGAATAGGCATATGTCAATGTGACTTGAGTACTAAGAGGCTAAAATTCATTATTCCACATAAATGCATGGTATAGGTGGTAAGGCTCCTAAGAGACCCCTACCGTCTGTAACATTGCCTCCAGCACTCTGTAATACAGGCTTTTTGCCAGTGTGAACCGCTGTTCGGCGACTGTCCGCTGGTTCGGGTTGGTTAGGTTCACAAAGCGTTTTATAAACACGTCGTTCATCTGTACCACACGGTCTGCAATGTCTTTGGCAGGGTTTTGTCCTGAGCATTTCTGTATGATATCAATCAAAAGCTGTGAACTCCATACAAGGAACATGTACAGCATACAGGCAATGTCAACACATTATCTCCATAGGCACATAGCATTGTCATTTCGTGTATTAATTTATTTTGATAATTTCTGGGGGAAATACCCTTCATTCCTTTCCAAAAATCTTGAACTTTTTGCTGTTAAATTTAAATATTTTGTGAAATATAATACTTAAGCAGGACGTGAAGGAGACATGGACATCTAATTTCCAACAAGAACTTGCAACAATAAACCTTCTAAACACTCAGGACTTCTTATGTAATTTCATGGAGTTTATCAAAAGCAACACCACATACAGTTAAACTACCTTGTAAAATTCCTGTAAGTTGGCACTTGGCTCATCTTGTGCTGAACTGAGGATATTTTTCAACTGTTGAACAGTATTCAGTGCAGCCCTGTAATACAAACAATATCAGAATTGTGCTTTCCATCACTACTGTATCCAATAAACACTCATGTGTTCAATAGACTTGTAGGAAATCAACCATTTCATAAAATGCTTTCTGTTGACCTGTGACATTTACCATAGATAACAATTTCAGCAGTCCAAACACAACACTTACCTGAGATTTGGAGAGTTTAAAACCACGTGTCAAATACACACATGCTTTCAAACTCAAGACTCAAAGCTCACTTCAGAGAGTGAAAAAGGTTTAGGGTTTACTGAAAGTCCTTTGATACTACAAATTAACATGAGGCCAGCCAAACAATATGTGTTTCCTGTTACATGTTTTATTGTTAGAAAAAGTTAGGGTAGAAAGGTAGGAAACAAGTTATACTTTTAATTATATAATGCATGCTTTATATAGGAGAGTGATCTTGACTTGAACAGTGCTTCTTTGAAAATTGCCTTAAAAGTTAAGGATAGGCATTAAAACTTAGGGTAGGTAGGGTTACCAGAAACACAAAATGTTTTGTTTGGCCTTATAAATACAGTGAATCTGTTTAACTTACCCCCTTTTACAAACATATTTGTCTTGTTAGACATGATAAAGGAATTTTCAGGCTTGTATTTGGTAGTTTTTATAAGAACATGGAGTACAGCTATTTTGTTGCATTAGACAAAGCATTAAAACATTCAGAGGTCAGATCAGACCGACAGATTCACTGATCAAAGATGATGGATTCATAAATGATTTTCAACAATTTTCTTACACAAAAGGTTTAAAAGTCGTTAAATAACAAACACATGTATGCAAAAGATTTTTTTTAATAAAATATGCAGTTAAATTACTTTCGCTACCTGTCCATAAAACAGATCAAAAATCAAATATTTTCTTTTTTTGGAGGATATCAAAATTTCATTTCAATGAATGCCTTGTAAATATTTTGAGGAATGGATATCAAAATTATATTAAAATGCCTTATATCTAATAGCCTAAAAACCACCTCAACAGGAGAAATATACTTAAATAAATAATCAAACTAGCTTCTAAGGCGGGCCAAATATTTACAATGTACTTAAATTGTGAAAAAAATGCAATGTATTTATATTTCTCTTAATAAAGCCTCATGAGGCTGTCTTTGATATGAAGTTTATTTAACCAGAAAATTTGTTCCAACAATTTGACTTGCAATCTTTACAGGTTTATGTAACAGGTGCTTATGGTATACGTAGAGCTAGACAGACGTGTGGATAACTGGGTTCTATCAAGAACAAAACGGTTGTGAATAAAAATACAAACTTAAATCAAGCCACAATTTGCAAGCCAAGTCTGAATTGACAATTGTAATGATGTGAACACGATTCACAGTTCTTAATATTTCTAACAAATATTATGTAATATTTTTATGTACATGCAAGATATGAGTCAAATCCCACCATTTTTTTCAAATTGACTCATTGAAATACTTTAATACAGCATCAATGACTCAAATGACTCGTTGAAATACTTTAATACAGCATCAATGACTCAAATGACTCGTTGAAATACTTTAATACAGCATCAATGACTCAAATGACTCGTTGCTTTTCAGAACTTGATAGCCATAAAAACGATTATGTAGGAAGACAATTTGAATAAATATATTTCCAAATGGGAATGGCTGTCTACAAATGTATCATAAATTAAAGATATATGAATACTTTGTTAACATGCTAGTAACACTGATAATTTAGGAAATTTTATGCCCTTTTTCAAGAGTTATCCAGAATGTCTAACACATGAGGACCGCCTTGATACAAAAGTCAAGCAGTTACATCTACCATTTCAGTGTTGAATGTGAGGTTTGAAACATTGCCTCTCTCAAGTAATGCTATAAAATTAGGTCTGGAAAAGCTCAACCATACTACCAAAGCACAAATCGTCTCAAATTTCAAGTTGTGTATAATCTGGAAACAATTGGGATATAATTAAAATCATCTGGAGAGAATAGCAATCCAATGGTGTATAATCTAGAGAGGATGGCCACCAACCAATTTTGAACCATCAGTAGAGATGGTCCTCAGAAAGACTGGACTTACAACAGTGGCATTATGTAAAAGGGAAGAAACCAAGTAAAACTCACGGATGGAGGGTTTCCCCAACTAACAACAAAGAATCATTTAAAAAAGTGGAAGGGAAAATAAAAGTGTTGGTTATCAAACAAAATTATATGGCACAGATATAAAATATCTGATATTTCTGTGTAAGCTTTAAACAGGATTTCAGTTCATTAATAATAAATTTGTTGAGATTTGTACAGCACTCTTTTAAATCTGTTTTAGGATAAATTTCCTCAGCTTGTAAATAATTTACAATGATATCAATTTATTGAAAGAATATTCGGGTAAAAACATAGAATTTTGCCAATAAATCGCAACATTTAAAGCACTTCAGAATATGAATATAAAGAGCTAAAAAACTTTATGGAAAATGTTCACCTCAAATTCCTAATCACTTTTAAACATAAACCATATTGCTTAATAACATATTATAAACGCTATTGGGGAACCGTCCATGTTATACCTCAACTCTGGGTCAATGTAGTCCTCAGATAGACACAAACTTCCTAACAGGTCTGCATACATATCTACATCAGTCCTAAACGTCATCAAACGACAGTTAACATTTCTTGAAATATGCACAAATAACAATTAGTTGTCTTCATCATTATGATGGAAAGAAAGTTTAAAATCAAATTTGTACATTTTCCCTATCAGACACTGTATATTAAATGTAGAAGGCTTGGGTTAACAGTGCACTTATCAGTGTTGTAGTTGTACATTTTCCCTATCAGACACTGTATATTAAATGTAGAAAGCCTGGGTTAACAGTGCACTTATCAGTGTAGTATTTGTACATTTTCCCATCAGACACTGTATATTAAATGTAGAAAGCCTGGGTTAACAGTGCACTTATCAGTGTTGTATTTGTACATTTTCTCATCAGACACTGTATATTAATTGTAGAAAGCCTGGGTTAACAGTGCACTTATCAGTGTTGTATTTGCAGTTTGGTGATTACGTTGTATCTTGTCCTACTTTTACTGAGATTATTTGGTATATAGAAATGTTTGCTATCATAGTTGAACTGCAAATTTTCTTGTACTGTAAAAATAACCATGCATGACTATTTAAGTCACTGAGGGTAAAACCGTATTAACAAATATTAACAAATACCCCCCCCCTTATAAAAAATTACTTTAACCATGGGTACCGATTCATAGTGTTACTTTATATAAAACCAATTCCTTGTGGATGGTTAGTATTTCTATTTTGTATCAGTTATTTGCTGTTCAAATATTCACCACTCCACTGAAGTTAGAAAAGAAATACATAGCAAAACTTAAATATTAAACCCATTTCTCAAATGAATTCAAAAGCTAGCTACCTTATAGGTGTCATGGGTGGCTCAGCATGGTTTTCTTTGGAAGGTGATGACTTTTCTCTGTGTAAAATAACAGGAAACTAAATAAAAAAGGTAGCAACCAGCAATCCTAATTTGAATAAACAAAACAACAACAGTTACTTAACTTTGTTATGTAGATTTTACTATATCAGAAAAAAAAAACAGAAAAAGAAAGAAATGCAGAAATAATCTTATTCATTTACAATTACTATCTTTTAAAGTTTTCATCATGATTTTAAGGCTAGAAACAAACCTCCCACAGACTTGGTCTATTCAGTACCAGACAGGTACCCCACTCACTTAACCAAGGTAGGCTACAGCATTTTGCACAAACTATATTGCACATTTTTCACGATGTATCCCAGTAAAATTCAAATAATAAAATGATTGTAGTATTCCAAAGTTGTACTAGCTATATATATATTTTAAATCTTTCCAGCTAAATCCTAAACATTTGAAAAACTTGACAAGTCTAATAGCTAAGAGATAAAGTGTGCTCTCAAAATGTGTGCAACTCCTAGAGAAAAGTTGTAAGTAAAATATTTGTCTCAAAATCACTGTAAATTCTATGAATATTACTAATTAAGTTCAAATTACCCGGTCTGTTCTAAAGTTACTAGATGTGGGTCGTTGTCTAGGAAACGTAATTCATCAATGTCTCCTTCCTGAAGGTAAAGTTTCTCATATGATTCCGTGAGCTTCTTGAGCTGAAAACAGACAAGCTACATTTACAACAACACTTACACAGTGTTCGTGAAAGAATTTTACTATAGAATCAAGGCCTTTCAGGGTTGTTTTTTTATGCCCAAATTTCTCTTGCTAATCAGAAATTCCCAAAATACAGAGATCTAGCTTGTAACCTGTATCTAAACTCACCATATTAACACCAATAAACCCAAAATTCCGAAACTGTTTGGTAGTCCAAAATCTAGAAATGAACTTGTAAAAATATTCCATTTTCAGTATTTTCTGAATTAATTTTTATGAGAACACCACAAATCCACCAAAATTAATATAAAATATTAATTCAATGATCCATTAGTCTACAATTAAAGGCTCGTTTTATCCTTCATGACATTTTTGTTAAATTTAAGAGCTTTTAGGTCCTGTAAATAAATGTTAATGGTCCTTTAAGGCCTGTACAAAGCCTGGTTGCCATGTTAACCAGTTGAAATTCACATTTGTTTGTAACTAATCTATTTATTTATAAGTATGGTTAAAGATGACAATTAGTCGAGACTCGGCATCAATTAAATTTTCTCCAAATTCAATGATTTGACCGTAGAGCTTTGTCAGTGATTGGGGCCACACTGGACTTAACACATTATGGAGATGAAACAGTGACGAATTTCTTCAGATGCTATATTTGTATTGGCTGGGACCTCACAAGTGGATCCATTATGTTACCTTAAACAAATATCAGCTTATATATAAAGACAGTGATTTACTGAAGAAAAATCTTATCATTAAAACAAATCTTATCAATAGGACGAGTCTTACATCTAATTCTCCATCTGTATGAGGAAGACTCTGTATAAAGGGTTCCGTTCTGTTCACCTGTACTGCCTGTACCTGAAATGTTCAAAGGAATACACCTGAGTGTTGACGAGATAAACATTAGAGTGCCTGACTATAGACAAATAATCAAAAATATTCTAAAAACGAAGAATTCAGATAAAAACTTCCAACATGAAACTTTTTCAGCAGCTGATTTATACTGTGTTGCCAATGATATTTTCACTGATTTGCGGGCCTCATGCGCATTAGCCAAACTTTGATATGTGTAACATTAAATATAATACATATAAATATTATCCACAATATCAACTGTTATACAGCCTTCCCAGGATTGAAACCAGCAAGCATGTATGCAGTAAGAAAGATTGTTTGAAATAAATTTTGCTGGTACATGGATTATATATAAATACTCTTGTCAATAATGTATAAAGTGTCATCAGTTATCAGATGAACATCAGTAAATGTATTTGGACATTGATGTAGGTTTGTTTGCTTGTCTGGGGGTGATATGTGCGACAATGAAATACTCTCATATCTTCAGGTTGTAAAGTGTGGCACGATTGAATTCAAATCTTCAGGTTATAAAGTGTGGCAGGATTGAATTCATATCTCCAGGTTATTAAGTGTGGCAGGATTTAATTCATATCTTCAGGTTATAAAGTGTGGCAGGATTGAATTCAGATCTCCAGGTTATAAAGTGTGGCAGGATTGAATTCATATCTTCAGGTTATAAAGTGTGGCAGGATTGAATTCATATCTTCAGGTTATAAAGTGTGGCAGGATTGAATTTTATCAAATTTATTTGTTATGTTGTATAATAATATTGTACATTATTCTCTTACTTTCGTTAATTAATCGTTAAAACTTCACAATGTGCGAGGGAGCCTTTTCTAAATTTCTCTAGAGTCTTACTAAGGTCAGTTTATGGGCTGTTCAGCATGGACAGGCCTATATTTTATCAGTCAAATTCTAACCTCTTCATAACACAGTTTGAGTTCCTCTGTTAGTTTCTGCAGCATGTTGTTACTGGCCCCGTGTACTTTGGAATGGTCTATACAATTCATCACTACTGCATCTAGAATTCAAAACATCTGATATCACATATTTTAAACTGCCAAATTTAATCATGAATCATTGCCAACCGTGAAATATACCCCTCACTGTTAATTCTTTATGATTGATTGTGTTGATTTTCATTATGTTCATAGACATTTTTGTCCCTACCTTTTTAAAGATGAATGAATCAGAACATGTAGAAATCAAAATGTCACATAAATATCAATAAATCTTGTATACAAACCAAATGAACAGAGGACATCGCATATAGGACATCATAATTATATGCTTTTCAAGAGCTTGAAATATCAGTCATAACATTAAAACATAAATCCTTTTCATAAGTTTTCTAACCTTTTTCAATTATCTTAGTCTTTATCTCGTAATAAGCCCACCCTACTGTTAAGTAAAAACAGTTTTTCATTGTCCTTTAATAAGCCCATATGCTTCTATGAGTGAGAGATTGTGTATTGGCCCATGGGCTTATTGCAGAATAAATATGGTAAAAATTACATCCTATGTATACAAAAATACATGTGAGCTTACTGAAGGGAGGATTTAACTGGAAAGCTGGAACATTGCGAAGGACATACTCAAGACAACACACAAATATGAAGAAGGCATCCACAATCTGCTCATCTGTCAACAGAGCACCTATCAATGCAAATAAATATTTGTTAGTAAGATACATAAAAAAAAATATGTAAGTAAAATGAAGAGAAAAAAGTCATATCATTCAATTTCAAACACAGATATGATGAGATTCTTTTTTTTTATTTTAAGGAAAAAATGATTTTAACATTTTTAAAAAAGAGGCTGAAACATTCCTAAGGTTCAAATAAGTTTCACAGAATATTTTAAAGGCAAAGATTTCAAATCGGTTCTGGATCTAAAATTCAAAATAAAGTAAAATCACGTGTTTTGTGAGGCTCAAATTCTGTGGTTTTGACATGTTCAAAACTAGTTTTTGATATTTTTCTTTGCCTTCATAACAAGGCAGAGTATTGCAAGGCGATCCATAGTCCCCCACCGGTAATGGTTTCTATATTTAACAGTACATTTATGCCAGGAAGCATAGGTCACAGTGAGGATATAGCGATTTAATTCTTGCACTCTGTCATCCCAAGATGTTCTTGTACACCAAATCTAGTTACTCCAGGTGAAATAGAACAGAACATATGCCCCCGACAAACTTTTTCAAAAGTTAAGGTCAAAGTGTAAGCCATAGGTAACAGTGACCTAATTCTTGCACTCTGCCATCCAAAGATGTCCTTGTATGCCAAATCTGGTTACTCCAGGTGAAATAGTTTGGAAGACATGCCCGGACAAACTTTTTCGAAAGTAAAGGTCAAAGGTCAACACAAGAGGTCCATATACACCAAATTTGGTGGCTCCAGATGAAATAGTATAGAAGAGAAATGTCCCGGACAGACCTTTTAGATGGAAGGACGGACAGACGGAGTGCAAACCTTTAGTCCCCCCCGGAAACCGGTGGGGGACTAATTACTGTTTAGAAATACTTTGTAGGGCCTAAAAGTACCCATCAAATCAAACAAACTAAATCTCTTACGAAGGCTTGCAATTACAAATTACACCATAGATTTAATATGAATACTTGTATATTTCAATAATTTTTTAAAAGAAGTAGAAGTATTGATAAAAAAATTCAGTCCTCTTGTAAAATCCAAAATTTGTGATTTTTCGATAAGAATATCTTTACATTCGTTCCTTTCATGCTTTTTCATGTTAAAGATCTTTACATCTTTAACTTACTTTTAGCATGAATAAATAGTGTCCAACACAAGCGTTTCCTGGCTTCCACACCCTCTCTCACAGGAATGGGGATGGCAGTGGAATCCCTGCAATCCAAAAACAATTAATTGAAGGCTCGACTTTCAATAATTGCTTGTATGAAATTCATTTTAAGATTTATTCTTGGATTAATTTTCAAATGTTTAGTTATTTCTTACTATTTCATAGTCATATATAGATGAATGAAATAATACATTTGAGAAAAAAATAAAAATAAAATTCCATGAAACAATCAGCTACTCGAATGGAAACAACAAAAATAACATCATTTATCAATGACATAGGCACATGAAGACCACAACCACAAGATTTGTTAAAGGGAACACGTAAATTTGTGTATGAAAAGGGTGATCTGATATTCTCTTACCCTGGACAGACTTATCCTTACTTTTACCGGTGTGAGATTTCCTTGTCTCACCCTAGGTTTGAGACAAGCTACACATGCTCTTTGCACGTTCTCCACAATAAACCTGACGTCACTGATGTGACCCGGAAGAAGAATTACTTTAATGTGGTCACACACATACACAAGTTCGTCTGCTAATCTTGTCGTGTTTACATTTGACATCAAAGAAGATTGGATTGATTTTTAAAATGTTTAAAATATGATGTGTGAACCGTCCGACGCATACATATAATATTAATACACTATCCATGTGTTCCTGTTTACAAACAATATGCTTCGTCTTACACTTGGACAGGAACAACAGGGTAAGAGAAAAATAATCATTCACCCCCTCGGGGTTGAGATAGGGGGATCTCAACCCTCGGGGGGAAGATTCTTAAGTTGCCAAACACTCGGCAAAGCCTCGTGTTTGGCAAATTAAGAATCTTCCCCCCAAGGGTTGAGTCTCCTCCATCTCACCCCCAAGGGGATGAAAGATTTTATTAGTCTTACTGTGCCGACATAGACTGTAATTGTAATTCGCTTATCAGGATCTGTTTTCTCAATATCCAGTTTAACTTGACCCCACAGTCCATTGATGTGAAACCAATTAAAACATCTACTGCTTGCAATAAATGCTTTGGGACAACTACATTGTCAGACAAAAGCAATGACTTACAGTGGTACAGAGCTTGCTGAAATGTGTCGGCCCTGATGATGATCATGTATACACAATACTGGTGTCGGCCACAAAACAAAGGTGAGTGGACAGACTGTTTTTTGAGGCTAAGTTTCAGATTCTTTTCTATTTTATAAGCTAGTAGCCAATTAAAAATTAAAAAGCCAAGGGCTACTTAGGCTACCAACACCGTGAGCCCTACGCTCCAAGAAATACTCAACAAAAAGAAAATATAGGCGATTGTTTGCCTTTTAGTGCAAGCACAATCACTATAGACTGGCAAAGGCTCAATGGTCCTGCCAACCCAAAAAATAAAGAACATTGCCAATTTATCTGGACAGCTACCTTACATTAAACAATTTTCCACTTCTTTAAGTTGTAAAGAAACAGCGACAACACTTTATGTAACAGTTCTTTTCACTTACTCTTTCTGGTCTTCATGAAAAACATTATTCCAAAGCCTAAAAAAATAAAAATAATTTTTTTTTATTGATATAGAATTAATAGTGAGAAATACAAATTGATTTATATGTCAATAGAACTGAATTATGAATTAACTTAAATTATAAATCACCACTGAAGACACATTTTAACTCCTCCAATTCAAAGGTTGGAATAGTTCATTATGAAATTTCAGGGGTGAATGAGTTTAACCAGTGTGTAGAATATAAACCAGAGCATCCTGTAAAGCTTTACAAGAGTAATACACTAAAACACACACAGTGAAAATTTGCCATTTACATTTTAGTATTTCTAGCATGGAATGCCTTTGGAAAGCATTTTTTTCATAGTTATATATGGCATATATTTAAGGTAGTTTAACTCAACACTAGACTTCAATCCAGGATCTCCAGTAGAGCAGTACATAAGTATATAAGTGGAGGCATGGTAGTCTAGTGGTAAGATGTGATAAAGCGGTTTATAAGAACCTCGAATTATTATTATCATTATTATATCATTATTTACTATCTGCATCTGTTGATTGCAACACTACTGCTAACTGGGAGTTAATTATATAAACCCTGGCCTAAAAATAAATAATTCACAGGAACAGTCCACTATTCTTTAGACATCACCACATTCACAACATGTTAATACCTATGAAATCTATGTGATAGTGCTGAAACTATGCAATACTTCTTCTCCAGAAATTTTAGATGATACTTCACAGCTTCACTAAGACTGATAACGTCTCTGATCTGGTGCATTATTCTGAAAAGAGTCTGCACGCTGAAATAAACGTGAAATATATCAATAGTGTGCATGTAACTAAATGATAAGCTCAAACAGTAATGCTGAAAAACTTTAACTTAAAACAATATCATTTTACATTCTTAATGACCTGCCTAAAATAAAATAATCATGAAGCTGTACTAATTATCATGAATATTTGTAACTTTTCATTTTAAAACTTTGATTTTCAAACATCTTTAAACCAAGCAAACTTTGACCATTTCAATCCAATAAAATTTAGTTATGTTATTATACGCAACAAACACAGCATTATTCTTCAAAACTTCCATTAAAAAGACAATGTTAGAAATATTATGTATCTTAATTTACGAGATTTATATGTTGTTTCACTAAAATAACTATATGATCTGACAGAATGAAATCCTTGTCTGTACTGTCTTTACCTAACTTGAGTCTTAACCAGTATATCGGTGACAGTGACGGCCGGTTGTCCCAGGTAACCACACTGCAACTGTGGGTCAAAAGGTCCATACGGCATCCTGATAACAAATGAACCACATAGAGCAAAGCGCCGTTGTATTGCCACCCGTTGTAACGCCAACCCCGCATACCGCCATCCATCATCATATTCCCAAAACAAATGGTTAAAATCACACTATTTTGACCTCGTTAAATACCGCCAATTTGAGTCGAGTACAGGTATATCCTGATGACAGGATTGTCACGTGCGTGTGAACATTGTATTGCTACACGTGACTGCCCACTGACCAGGTACTCAGCTGTATGTTTTGCACGCTCAACATTAAATAACAATTTTGAAAAAAAATGTATTCTGAAGTAAATTATTATTTTTAAAGTATAAGTGCAGTTGGTGTGTGAACACTTGAGTTTAAAACTGGAAACCTGACATACCGCCAAAACACAGGGGCCAGAAGGGGGGTGGGTGGTGGTGTTATAACGAGGTTTTACTGTGTATCACTACCCCAGCTTGATGCAGGCAGAGATTACAAGCAAGGTTTTGACATCATTTTTGTCATGCGCTTGCATGAAGTAGAAGAGGATTCTGGCATAACCAAAATAAATAATTTTGTTTAGGCCTACCAACCTAGTTTAACTATCTCTAGTACTAACAATTTACCACAAAATCATTCAAATTCAAGTTTTGAACTTAAATGCAAAATATGAATGAAGTGTATTTAGATTTTTTTTCCAATTTATTTTTTAACTTTTTTTTTCTTTTGTAGAATTAGGAATATTTGGATAATTGGAATTCAAGTCAATAATGGGAAATGAAGTAAAATATTTCACCAACCTATAGAATTGAGATGCAGTCTGGTGAGGAAATATAGTATTGTATTAGTAGCCGGATAGCTTTTGATTAATTTTGCTTAATAATGTCATATTAACAGCTAATTATAAGGTCAACTAAAAATAAGGATGTGCTTCCATGTATGTATTGTATGAGCTCATTCATGCGGATCTGAAGCCAACTTTAGAGTGCTACCTCACTGAAGGCACCAAGCACAGTATTTCACCAAGTCACATTATACTGACAATGGGTATATATATATATACATAAACCAGTTGTTGGCGTTATCCTTAATGCTGAACATTAAGCAGGGAATAACAAACACCATTTTGAAGGACAATTGCAATAGCCTCATAAGTGTCTCATAATGATTGTAAGGGGATGTTGTGCATCATGTCAACCAATCAAATCTTACCTGGCATCAACGACAGCAATGTAGATAGCACATGCCAACATCTCCATTTTGGGGATCTGTAATTGATGAATGCAAACAATGAAGAAAACTTGTAAGTTATAAAGACTTATTTTGTTATGTATACCTTGTAATACATAGTGTTAATGTGATACACATTTTTATCGAAATGCACTGAACAGATGAATACATGAGGAAATCATTATACAGTTAGAAGATCATTGTAATCATATATTCATTTACTTTACCTTCAATTTTTAAGTTGGTCATCTGTACAATATTACCTTTTTGCATTCAATGGCCATTGTTTGATTAATTTTCTATACTCACCATTTCTTGGCACTACCACTATATACCCTGATAACAAACGTTAGTGGCAAGTTCTCCAGCTCATGATGAACTACCAACAACGTAAGAATTCCAAGTAATATTAAAGTTGAGGTTACCTCCCTTGGCGCACCTCATTGAATTTGTCTTTAATTGTCCAGCTGGCATACATATTGCCTATGAATGCCAACTGAAGGCAGTTCAATGCTTACTTACAGGAAGATGAAATCAACCAATTACTGAGAATATTATTCTCACAACAACTGCTTATAAGTGTGCAGGAAAAATCTATAGCTATATTTATATGAAACAGAAATATTCCTGTGAGTTATGCCGGTCAGACCTTTAAAATTTCTTCCTGACTTTTCAGCAAATTAAGCATGCTGTATGCCCGCTTTTGTACGTCATCCAGGATTTTGAGTTCATTGCACATCCACTCCAGGTCAGAGTCTACCATTTCCGTATCTGTGTCCATGTCATCAGGCACACCATTTGACACTGGTATTCTGAAAAATACAATTTTAATGTATCAACAGCTTTGAATGTCAGATATTAGCAAGGGGTACTTTCATTGATTCTGTTGAGATCCACTATCAGCATACATGTACTTTTAAATCTTTGCTATATTTTTCACGAGAAAGAAATTAGAATATCTAACAAGTAATAACAAACCCTTTTTGACAAGCAAATATATATTGAAATGCAGTAGATATAAGTGTTCAGCATTTACTTTATTTTAACGACTTACCCTACATGTATTACATATACTACATATATAGCATGTACAGTTCTTTAATTGAAAATTCTATCATTTTAATTCTGAAACAAATATAATAATTACTCAAGTTATTTAGATCAATGTTTGAATGTGTAACAGGAGACTGAAAATGCAATGCAATTTGAAACCTTCATGACCTCCAAACTCCACAGAAACCTCCCTCCTTTTTAAGTCTTCTACCCTGAAGACAACACTATTTCATCCTATTTTCAGCGTTTATACATGTCCACTACTTGAAACAAGGGAATGTTGATCACAGGCACCACATGTACATACACTGTAACACATATGCATGTATATATAGTAAAAGGAAAAATACAACAGGGCCAGACAGGGATCTCCAAATCCTAGGGATGCTCCGACGAATTGTGCTGCATGATAACCAGTAGTCACCTGGCTGCATCAAACTACAAGGGCTAGAAATTAATTGAAAAAAAGGTCGGTCAGTCACCTCTGGCTAGTAGCGTCCAATTTTACAAGTCGATATGCAATATCCACTAACCAAAATTGAGTCAAATTTTTAGTTACTATGGTCAATTATGATCAGGCTAGCTATTTTTGGAACCACTAGTCCAATCAGGCACATGCACTGTCCCAATGAACTGGTAATCTGGGTAATATAAGCTGTTTTCTACCTGCATGTGCGGTCAGTAGTTGAAGTACAATCAATGAAAGCAAAAATTTGACTCAATTTTGGTTAGTTGATATTGCATATGGGCTTGTTAAATTGGAAGCTACTAGCCCGACTGACCGACCTTTTTTACAATTAATTTCTAGGCTAGCCCTTGTAGCTTGATGCAGCCAGGTGACTACCGGTTATAATATGTTGCTCAATTCTTTGCTATTTTGTTTACCCCATGCATATAACACCACAAGACTCCTAGTCTAATATCTGAATGAGTGAATTGTAGAACTCATAACTACACATGTATTTTACATTCTTTTTTGAGAGGAACAAACAATTTCATCAAGGCTATTGAATAATTAATCAATAAAATCTAACGATGTCAGTTGTTAATGATCGATCATGACGTCGACACACATTTAGCGCTTATTTTCCTATTATTCATTATTAGGAAGAGACATCTAAACTATAGTATTTTAAGCCATCGAATGCACAGCAATTACATTCAGCTGTCAACAATATTGGGGTCACTGGGTACAACGGTTACGGTGTTTACAAAAAATTACGTCATGCGAACTTCTTGCATAATAATTGTAAGTTAGATTTTTAGTGTTACTGTAGCATGAATTATTTTGACTACATAATACACACTACAAAATAAACTTTGACTTTAAAATTGCATATTACAGCTGTAAACCATGGTCAAACCATCATGTGGTCGTAATGCATCCGATGGACGAAAATGAGAGTATCGCACTAACGCTGTAAGGCCTATTAGGTTAGGTCCTGTGGGAGGTTGCACTCACATGCTTTGTTTCATCTCATCGCAGTGTCCGTTCGTTCCTAAAGCCATATCGGCGTCCATTGGTTGTTACGTTTGTAGTTCTAACTCCTATTCAGTGCTTTGGTCACAACTACTTCTTGTTTACATTTTCTCTTGTTTTCTCCCTTTACAAACAAAAACTTTACGCTGATACTTCGTCAAGAAAAAACCCGCGAAAGTTCGGGATGAATACTTATACGAATTGTGATTGGTTAGTCAATGTTGTCATTTTCTTCAACTCAAAGGGACATAACTCCAGATCGTTTAGCAGACGAAAAGTTCACAAGCTGTGATATCCACGTGTTTCTGACCGAGATTTGACAGGTAAGGTAAACATGTCGAACGTAAAATAAAACAATTTTCTGTTTGTGACTAGTAACAAATCGAAATGCGGCGAGAAAATAATAATAATAAAACTATGGTATATTTTGCACTGGTCTGAAAATTTTCTTTCGACGTAAATTACGCCAACTGGTTATAGGTAAAATAATCTAAATTATGAACAGGTTCCAAATTAGGTTCATTAGGCCTATTTCATTATCATTCACAAAATACTGGAACCAAAGATTGTTGAAAAATTAATATGTGAAAAACTGAATGTCTTTATAAACCTACACATGATTTATCTCATATCTGCTAAGTATACATCTATAGCTTGAATGTGGATACCCGACTGAATGTTAATTTATACTATATAGCTTGCGTATTAACTATGGATCTGTTGCAACAGTAATCAGTAGCACAAAAGATGAAATAAACGCCTTTAAAAAGGAAAATATTACAGATTTTCTGTTCTGCTTATAATGATATATTCCGATTGAAATACGCAACCTGATTTATAGGTGTTTTTTTTTTACTTTTTGTAAATTAGTCCCGGCTTGTATATTAATAAATATTTTAAATTATTTAAATACCTGTCTCAACCGGAACTGACGTGCTCTTTTATGGATCCCATTGGAAATAAGTTTTATTTTAACTTTTATACCGTAATCCAAGGAAGAAAGGCCAACCACAGGGGCACGATTCAATTTATCAATTTATATCCGAGGCCTCCTTTTTACCATACATAATAAGGGGGCACCTGTTCATTTAACTTACGGTGACTACTAGTACTACTTACTGTGATATAATCTAGTCTGTAAAATTGTATATGTCTTATGTTTGTTTGTATGTATGTACCACTTGTGTTATTGCAATGCCTTTTACCTGAATAAACACTATTATTATTATTATTATTATCATATTTGTTTTACAAAATAGTAAGTAGGGGTGTTAGTACACACACCAGGAATTGTATGGATCCATGAGCTAGCTCAAGCTCAGGGGCCCTACCTGGCAAGTACTCAAGTACATGTTTCAACTTTTGGAATGAGCTATATGCTCAAGACCAGGGTTCCTATTGGCTGCTTAGGGTACTCACTCCTCTGTGTACTGGATTGTAATTGGCTGTATACAGTTTTTGGTATAGTCTTACATCTAGTGAATTTTGTAAGTAATTTCATTATGAGTTGGACTTCTGATAACACCATATGCACAGTGTGATAAAGAGGGATGGCGCACTTGTCCCTGTTTCGACAGACAATGTCCATAATCAGAAAAAAAATATGTGTCTGGTATTAATTTTCACATGCCGTCAAATATGCTACTGTGGAAAATTTGCAAGAAAACATGGGCGAAAACATGACTGTTTCTCCGTCGTTAATGCAATTTTGACACACCACACCCGCAGATACCAACTTATAGACTATTGAATTTCATCATTTATCATAAAATAAAATTTAAATCCTATTCTCAAACAGTGATACATGCGTGCGCTAACTCACAGTTAACGAAAAAAATGAAGAAGAAACAAATCATCCAAATATTTTATCAGGTTACTGCATTCCGTCTTGAACAAAGATGTGAAAAGTTGAGTATCATGTATCAACAATTTATGATGTTGCTGTGTGATATTCAAATGTAAACATGCCACGTGAACGTAAGCCGGAACGTGTACGTTACGATGTATTGACTATTATTAGTCTTAGTTATCTAGTTATTTGACTCAGTTTACAAACCAACTGCAACTATAGTATAATGCATAGTAATTTTGCCTGAATATGTCAGGTATTAAAAAAGACCATGCATAAGACAATAAATCTACTAAATGGATTTTAAAAAATAAAATGACGGGAAAATGATTTCTTCCGTATTTCATCAGTGTAATAGGGCATATATTTCGTATTAGGTTTTGTTATACATGTTTTGTATTTGCATATGTTGTCTGGTGTGAACGATGGTGTAAGGACCTTTAATGAATCTGCCTGTGACACGTACTTACCTGTTTGTGCATGTGAGTGAGTGAGTTGTTATGACATCTGACTAAGGACGGGCCATATGATTGGTCAGGACGGATGCCTCAGTTTACCTGTGTAAAGGATGTGCCCAACTTGGACACTCCGCTTCTGACCAGCTGATATGAAACACGTAGTTTGAATTTTGGGAGAAAAGTCAAAAGTCTTTAGCTGGTAAGTTTTTACTCTATTTGTTTGATAGCTTTTTGTTCATCTAATATAATAGAAAATGTAGGGACTATACCATTTTTTGTAATTCAATTGTGGCTATGTAATTTTATCTTTTTCTATCTAAAAGTAATTAACATTGAACATTGTCAAGGTCAAAGTGAAATTAAGTATGTAAAGATATGTCTTTTTGTTAATTCAACTTTCTATGGATTGGCATTAAATTCAAAATGGTCAAATTATTTATTAGGGATATTTATATTATTTTAGTGTAAAGCTCCTGGTTGGACTTCGAACTGAATTGATTGAGAGGAATTAAGGGAAACCTCCACACCATAGCTGTGGGGTGAGTGTTCAATGGGTCTAGAATGATTTAATGTGTATATATCTGGAATTTTTAAAAGTGTGTATGAGTAAATTTGCAATAGTTAAAGTATAGGTTTGATAGTAATGATATTTATGTAATTATTTAAAGAATGAATTTATAACCTTTTGGAAAAGATAACTGAATACATACATTCCAGTTACAGATTTAGAAATTAGTATATTAATAAATATCATTGTATATGTACATTTGATAGGGTAAAATAGATATCTGTTATATAATAGCATTTGTCGATAGAGTTATTTCCCGTTTCACTGTGTTATGTATGCAAGTATGTCAGGTATGTTCGATTGTATGCAAGATATGTTGTATTTGTTTTGTCAACAGGGGTTTTAAAAGTGGATTATTAAATGTACCCAAAGAATACATCGGATCTTAGTTGGCATTGCGAACCCCGGTAACAATCAGTATATCTTAAATTAATGTTGCCCATTAATACCAAAGATATTATATATGATATATTAGAATTATATTAAAGGCTTTCGTTAAAATGATTCAATATGGCCTTAATTATATGTCAAAAACCAAGTGACAATATCACGAACAACTAGTTACGCGAGTGTTGACCTCGTAGCTGTTCCACAGTGAGTGTATACATACTATTTTTTGTCAGGTAATAACCGAATGCACGTACAAACGTGATCATCAATCCGGTATTTTTAAACCGTGTCAAGACGGTAACTGAAATAGGTATCAGCATACCATACGCGCCATCCCTCTTTACACATACCCTCCTCACCCTAAAATTAATTGTAGGATGAGTGTTATACGGATGTATATGATGTTGGGTAAGTTTTATTTGAAAGAGTATTAAACAACCATCCGAGATATTGAGAAATATACGTACGTATGTATATATGTAATAGTATGTCTTATAGGAAGGTTAAATTATTAATAAAATATTGTAAATTGTTGATAACATCCTATATTGTAATAATTAGATTTTTGATGAAACAAAAATTGTTTATATCTTTTATTTTTATAATTCATTTTTGATGCAATATAAATAGTGAATATTCATTCTTATAATGATAAATGTTGTGGCAGTGTGACTTTTCCATTTATCAGTATGGCCAAATGACTCGAGGGCATTGTGCGAATATAAAGGGCATTACTTTTGTGGAGTCATCTGGCCTTTCGATCATACTTAGGCACATTGCAACCTTGCTATTATATTTGGTATCAATATCTGTAATAAACTGCCAAAACCATATTTCTTCACCTTTGGACTAGAACAACATTTCACGAACAAATAGCTGACGCAACGAGCGTTGAGCTTTATTTCCCCGGTCTTTCTGGAAATAACAGGAAGGTCCGATTTAGTAGGACGTGATTGTGACGTCATGGTAATAATATAATCTCTGAAAGAAGTTTCATGCTTGCCAGTATCTCGTAGATGTTGGGATTTTTCACTCAAAATTGTGTTCATTGGAGCAAATAAATGTTTTCAGTTGACATATGAATCCTAATTGGGATATGGCAAATGCAGTGAAATGCGCCAGCACCTGGCATAGTGCAGGCTTGTGGAGATAAAGACTCAGCGCTCAGAAGTATAGTATCTGGCGAGGCGTAGGATGAACCCAGCCAGGAGGCACCCCATAGTGTTGGGAACTTCACCGCTTCTGTTTAGTCACAAGTCAGTCATTCAGACTTGAGTGATATGATACAAACCACGATCAGGCTGTTTATTCACATCCAGCACAGTCAACATGGAGGGAGAGAATGGCGAGTGGCACTAAATGAACAACAACAAAGTTTGGAGAAGTTTGGACGCTGACTAATAAATAATAATTGAAATATCATCCAGAAGTTGACTCTGATTGGAAGCATAGGCAGAAAGATTGAGACAATGAAAACAGCAGAAGGAGACAAGGGGGAATCTTCAGAACTCAAAAAAGAAGACAAAAATACCATTTCAAACGACTCTAACGAGAACTGAAAACAGTGACACGACAGTGCGGGAGGGCGCGTTATGTAGAGGAAAATGATTACATCAGCTGAGAGACGACATCTGGGAGGACTTCATAAGACTTCGAAAGGCATAAGAGGTGATAAAAGCAAGAAAGGAAAGCTCTTCTGGGAGGTGAAAGATCATGCCGCTTGGATGGTTCAATTGCAGATATTGAGGAGCACCTGAAGTAAACTATTAAGGCAGGAATGTCTTGTTCCAAAGGAGAAAGACTCTTAAAGACATCGGACAATATTCATAACGAATTTCCCTGTTGAATTTAGAAGATATTCTTTGCGATACCTGCAAGACGAATGACAACATATATGACAATCAG